TTCTCTTTGAAGAAGCTCCCCAACCCTTCTCTTTGAAGAAGCTCCCCAACCCTTCTCTTTGAAGAAGCTCCCCAACCCTTCTCTTTGAAGAAGCTGATGGTACAGATGAAATTCCCGTGCATGGTCCTAGAGTGGGTAATGGGGTCTGGTGTCAGGGTCAAGGGCCTGTGGTTCCTGCCTCCTCTTTATCTGCACTCTCTCTTCATTTGGGGGCTCAATGGCAAACTGCTTTTCCAATATCGATCTAGAAGATAAAGAAACAGGACAGGATAGGGATTAAAGGACACGGCTTGAGGATCCTCTTTTCCCACCCCAAATCCCTCAGCAAAGCCATCCTGCAACACAGAAATGACCCCAAAGCTTCATTCATTATGTGAGTAGAGGCTACTTCTTACTGCCACGTTTTCCGGGTGGTCTCTGCGGCAGTTATGCTGTTTGGTTTTAGGTAACAGTCATCACTCTCTGGGAAGGAGGAGAAAGATGGGCCAGGACTCACATTTCTTGAAGTCTTCCTATGTGCTGTGTGCTCTGTACTGGGTTTCCCACTTACCCCTCCCTACAGTTCTGTAAGGAAGGCGTCCTGGGTCCCCTTTTACAGATGACCAAGGGTAAGCCAGCAGAGCCTAAGGAAGAGTTCCACATATCATACACCATATAATCGGGTTCCAGCTTTTGTGCTCATCACAATATTCAATGCATTCTTAACAGACATTACTCCCAAATGGGCTAAAAATGAGTTCTTTTTTTTTTTCATGGTAAAGTCTGCTTTACTGGTGGCAGTTAGTATAAGTCAATAAATATTGATCCCCAAAGAAGAACTCATTTATTTATCTGGTCCATAGAGAGCTGAATGAAACTGAACCAACTGCCTGCTGGGATGATAAACTGAAGTCAATCCTGCCTCTTGGGAAATGAAGCCATAGCTAGCTGATATATGGCATATGCTGTTCCACCAACTGTGGAACAGCATCATAGTGGCTCTATACGGGAGGGCATCAGCTACCCCACCCTTTAGATGCACTGAAATTCCATTATCCTCCTGAAATAGCTTTTGTTTCTCTGGAACTTTATTTTCAAACTGCCTGCGTGAAGCAGTACTTATGGTCCTCTGGGCAATCTGACAAAGAGCCAGCAGATTCCACATCTTGGCTCAGTTACTACCCACCAACCGTGACAACCGACTACCAGGAACGAAAGTCCCCACACCGGACTAAAAATGAGTTCTTAAGGGTAGGGAGTTGGTAACCTTTACATTACAATGGTTTGTGGCAGTACAAAGGACCACAGTACATAAACACTTAACATTTCAGCTGTGGTACTAAAATTTCATGTTCTAAGGAAAAAGAGATTGATAAGGGAAAAAGTCTAAAAACCCTCTGTGGGGGAGAGGGGGCGAAACGAAAGAAGGGTCAGGAATATTTCATATACCCAGCAATCTCTTATGTAGATGATGGGCCACCAGGGATTTATGACTGGTCATTTTACATTCCCCCACGGGTGCTCACTCAACAACCGCTCTTGGAGGTGATGATGATGATGATAATGATGATGATGATGATGATGACCATGACGACAACAATAATGGTGGTCCAAGTGAAATTCTGCCCCTGGGGCCAAGAGACCTGGGAATGGGAAGAATGCGAACTGACTGGTTTTTAAGGCAGTAGACAGACAGGGAGGGGTCAGAGGAACAGGAATTTCCTCCAGGAAAGATGATCTGGAGGGTGGGAAAATCAAATTGGCAAAGCTAATGTAAGCAAATAGTACTCAAAATTATATCTCCTTTCATCCAAACTTTTATCCGAGTAAACTATTATTCAATCCATACGTTAGGCTGTCAGGGTATAGGAAGTTAAGAAAGGTTAAAGAAATTGGAAAAACTGCTGCGTGAATGTCTGCTCAGTCATGAAACCTCGAGTTACTCTAATTTCCTCACTGTGTCCTGAAGCCTCCAGGGCTCCAGTTGCCCTAACTTTATTTTGGCACTGACGTTTAACGCTTCCCAAGCCAATGGTTAATTTTTTTTATAGTGACCTGTAGTACTTTTTTTTTTTTTAATGTGAGTCTATTTGACACACAATGTTACATTAATTTCAGGTGTAAGACATAATGATTCAACAACTCTATACCTTATGCTATGCTCACGACACCTGTAGCTACCATCTGTCACCATACAACACTCTTACAATACCACTGACTATATTCCCTATGCTGTGCCTTTTATTCCTGTGACTTAGTGACCTGTACTACTTTTAAATTATGATGTTATTGACATTTTTTAAGCGCGGTGAATGGCGGTTTCTTATTATTACTGCCTAGTGCCCGCTTTGGAACTCGGGGGCTGTAGGAAGTAGGTGGCTGTCAGGATAGAGCTGAATGCATCTTTGAACGTGTCGGGAATGTTGGAGACCCACAGCTCTAGAAGACCACTCCTTCTGCAGTTCTGAAACAGCCCCAACCTTCTTCCCTAATGTAAACCACTAGTATTGGGCTATTGCAGGGGCCTCTAGGGATTGAATCAAAGAAATAGAACCATTGTCTCTGCTGAGGAGAAAGAAGGATGTGGGGTACTCAGGGACTGAAACTGTGTGTGAGAAGGTAGTATCTTAAGGACTGGGAAACATTCAGTGGAATGGGGGGATTTCCCTCTTCAGCCATGACCAAGACATACTGTAATTAAATTTCCAAAACATAGTGATAAAGAAAAAAATCTTAAAACCAGAAAGACAAAAGAAGACCTTAACTTACAAGGGAAAAACCCACAAGCCTAGGTGGAGATTTCCCAACAGAAAACTTGTCAAGCCAGAAGAGAGTGGCATGATATATTCAAAGAGCTGAATGGGAAAAATCTGCAGCCAAGAACACACTATCCAGCAAGGCTATCATTCAGAATAGAAGGAGAGATAAAGCATTTCCCAGATAAACAGAAACTAAAGGAGTTCCTGACCGCTAAACCGGCCCTGCAAGAAATATTAAAGGGGACTCTTTGAGTGGAAAGGAGAGACCAAAAGTGACAAAGACAAGAAAGGATCAGAGAAAATCTCCAGAAACAATGACAAAACAAGTAAAAAATGGCACTAAATATCTATCTATCAGTAATTACTTTGATTGTAGATGGATTAATGCTCCCATCAAAAGACGTAGGGTGTCAGAATGGTTAAAAAAACAAGACCCAGAGGGGAGGGAGGAAAGATGGTGGAAGAGTAGGGGACCTTGTTTCATCTGGTCCCTCGAATTTAGTTGGATATCTATCAAACCATTCTGAACACCCACGAATTCAGCCTGAGATGTAGGGAAATAATCTGGAACTCTACAAGCAGAAAAACGATTGCTTTTTACAAGGTAGGAGGTGCAGAGTTGTGAATCTGTGGGGAAATATCGGAAGATAAATGGAGGGGGCAGGGAGCCTCCATAAGCTGGCTACCAGAAAGTGATGTAACACTGGAATGCAAAATCGGAACGCTTGGAAATCTGCTCCAGTGAGAGACATCCCTTTCTGAAAAGGGCTCAGGGGACGAAAAGGGCAAAATTCTAGGTGAGTCATTGTGGGCTCAAGATCCCAGGAGACATAGAAAGAACGGGGGTGCCTGAACCGATGGAGCACCCAAGCAGTGGAGCAGGAAAACTGGTTATGGTCAGGGAGCCCAGGAGGGGCTCACAGCTCTGGTCACCACAAACCGCGAGCCGGTCCGGTAGGGAGACCACTCTTTGCCTGAGCACCCTGAAAAGCACTGGAATGTGTGGGCCGTTTACCATCCCCTGGCAGGGACGAAACGGCTGCACCCACAGTCGGGCAACAGCTCTCAGGGCAGTGGTGGCTCTGGGAAGGATGGTAGGGCGGCACCCAGCCGCGACCTGGCAGTAGCGGAACAGGGTGCACACACGAGCCCACAACCACTCACAGTTGCCAAGACAAGAAGTGCAGTGACGCTTCCGGGTCCCTGCGACTCCCCCCGGGAGAACTGCAGTGGGCACGAACCACATGAGTCTGTGGAGTTTGGCGCACAGAGAAGTGGAGACAGTTGACCTGTGGGATTATTGACGAGGGGGGACCGTGATCTTGCGGCTCTGCGCCAGAGATCCGGGCATGGTCATTTTTACTCTGACCCCCTGAAGAGGTGCAGAAAGACGCCAGGGAACAAAAGCCACTCAGACGACCAGCTCACATTGAACTCATCCCCCTGACAAGGTGTGGGGCAACTCAGCCCAGGCAAAGACACCTGAGAAGCAAAACAGCAGGCCCCTCCCCAAGAAGACAGACTGGAAAATAGGTGAATGACAAGTTTATGGATCCCATGAGACTGTAAAACTCCAGGGCCAGGGGAAAATAGTATATTGAGCTCCAGGTGTTTCCTCACAACTTGTTTATCCTTCAGCCTAAAATTTTCCATTTCTTTTTTTATTTTAACCTTTTTTCCGTTTCATCCAGATTCTTATTTTACCAACTTATGTTTTTAAGTCCTTTTTTAACTGTTATTTTTTCACATCTACATTTTATAGATTTAGGCCTCATTCTAGTCCTTTTTTCATTCTAGTCAATTATATGTGTGTGTGTGTGTGCGTGTGTGTGTGAAGTTTTGCTTTCTTTACAATTTTGGGATGTAGTGTCTTCTAACACGAAGACCAAAATTAAATCAGGAACAAGTGGATCACCCTGCTTTGTCCACCTTGTGAGATTATAGTCTCTCCCCCCCCCCCACTTTTTCTTATTGTTTTGTTTCATTTTGGCTTTGTTTGCTTTTCTGTGGTGGCTTCTGACAACTTTGGACTTTTTCTAGGTTGTGGTTGATATTTTGGACTCCGTTCATTCACTAACCCATCCTTCCCTGGGCAGAATGACTAGAAGGAGGAATTCACAACAAAAGAAAGAACCAGAGGCATTATTCTCTGCCACAGAGCTAATCGATATGGATATAGGTAAGATGTCAGAGATGGAATTCAGGATAGCAAGTATAAAGTTAATAGTTAGGCTTGAAAAAACCATAAATGACAATACAGAATCCCTAAGGGCGGAAATGAGATCAATCAGGCCGAACTTTAAAATTCTATGAATGAGATGCAGTTCAAATTGGATGTTCTAACACCTAGGGTCAGTGAGGCAGAAGAGAGAATAAGTGATCTAGAGGACAGGCTAACGGAAAGGAAGGAAGTAGAGGAAAAGAGAGAAAGACAACCAATAGTCCATGAAGAAAGGCTTTGAGAATTTAGTGATGCCTTGAAACAAACCAATGTCAGAATTATCGGGATCACAGAAGGGGTGGAGAGAGAGAGGGGGCTAGAAGGTATATTTGAGGAAATCATGGCTGAGAACTTCCCTAATCTGGGAAAGGAAAAGCATTCATGTCCAAGAGGCAGAGACGACCCCTCCCAAAATCAATAAAAATAGGTCAACACCCCGACATATGATAGTGAAGTTTGCAAATCTTAGAGCCAAAGAAGCTATCCTGAGAGCAGTTAAGGAGAAGAGGTTCCTTATGTATGGAGGGAAGAACATCAGAATAACATCAGAACTATCCACAGAAACCGGGCAGGCCAGAAAGGGCTGGCAAGACATATTCAGGTTACGAAATGAGAAGAACATGCAGCCAAGAATACTTTATCCAGCAAGGCTGTCATTCAAAATGGAAGGAGAGATCAAGAGCTTCTAGGACAGACGGAAACTGAAGGAATATGTGACCACCAAGCCAGCCCTGCAAGAAATATTAAGGGGGATTCTGTAAGTGAAGGGAGACCCCAAGAGTAACACAGACCGGAAAGCAAGAGAGACAATCTACAGACACAGGGACTGTACAGGCAATACCATGACACTAGATTCATATCTTTCAATAGTTACTCTGAACGTAAATGGGCTAAATGCTCCAACCAAAAGACACAGGGTATCAGATTGGATAAAAAAGCAAGAACCGTCCATATGCTGTCTACAAGAGACTCATTTTAGACCTGAAGACACCTCCAGATTGGAAGTGAGGGGGTAAGAACGATTTACCACACTAATGGACCTCAAAAGAAAACTGAGGTAGCAATCCTCCTATCAGACAAATTAGATTTTAAGCCAAAGACTATATATAGTAAGAGATGTAGAGGGACACTGTATCATACTTAAAAGTTCTATCCAAAAAGAAGATCTAGCAATTGTAAATATCTATGCCT